GGAATGATTAACTGTTGCTGTCAAACAAGGTGTGTCTCAATTCATGGTCTATGTAGGCCGGGTCCTTCGAAGGCTGGAAGTGACAGTCTTATCTTCATCCACTGCTCAGGTTGCCTAGCAGCCACGATACTAGCCACTAGACACGTTTTATACGGCATTGTTTGACAGGAATGGAAGTGAAAATTTGTTGTTTTTGTTTGTTTTTTACTTAAATGTTTTTTAGTTTATTGAGTATCTGAGGCTGAGAGACTGAAAACATGATTGTTGGGCTACATTTCTGTATCCAGTAACAGTAATTTTAAGATTAACTGGTAAATAACGTATTTATTATTAATGATTATTGTTGATTGTTGATAGGGCGATCGTGGCTCAAGAGTTGGGAGTTCGCCTTGTAATCGGAAGGTTGCCGGTTCGAGCCCCGGCTTGGACAGTCTCGGTCGTTGTGTCCTTGGGCAAGACACTTCACCCATTGCCTACTGGTGGTGGTCAGAGGGCCCGGTGGCGCCAGTGTCCGGCAGCCTCGCCTCTGTCAGTGCTCTCCAGGGTGGCTGTGGCTACAATGTAGCTGCCATCACCAGTGTTTGTGTGTGTGAATGGATATGTAAAGCGCTTTGGGGTCCTTAGGGACTAGTAAAGCGCTATATAAATACAGGCCATTTACCATTTGATTAATATTAATAAATGAAATGTATTTTATTACAAATTTGCAGTTGTGAACTTGAACTCTGTTTCAAATAATTAGCTTCAGTAAAGATTCAAGTTGCATTTATTTATATTTCCTATCACTTACTCTTCATCTCAAAGACAAGTATCTTTCAGACGTATTGTATATAAAAGAGACAAATATTGTTACGAGCTGTGATTGGCTCTTCGTTTTTGATAGAATAAAGAGTAGACCGATATCTTTAATATTCGTTTATTGGGTGAGAACATTATGCCATATCATAACTGCTTTAAGTCAAATAGAATAGATGAAAAATGAGCTATGAACAGACTGACTTCTGCTAAATGGGTCAAACTGGGCAGACAGCACATCGTATTTTATAAGGATGTTAACAATATAGATCAACTTACTTCAAAATATGTAAAGCATATACACATCTACAGCAATATTATGCAACAACACAGCGATACTATCAATCCAAAATACTCCATGTTTCATATAACCGAAGAAAACACACTGACTTTCATTTTAAGGTACACTCTGGATACAAACATCAAGTTTCTGTATACAGAACTTTTTACTGGAAGTACACGAGTACTTTCCCCCACACTGAAAACACTTGAATGATAAAAGTATTTTAACATTACCCAATAAGACCCGAACTCCTTCATGGCATGTATTTTTTATTTTTCTTTGCTATTTGGGTTGATTGGGACCTGATGAATTTGAAAACAAAGAATTACCAGATTTTTTTATTTTTTATTTTTATCTAATTTTTGTTTCTGAGTGAAGGAAACGGTTTCCAAGGCCTAATCCGTGGATCGACTTCCTTCGAGGCGTGGACGTCTATCAGCAGAGAATGTACCTTAGTCTGTAACACAGTCAAATATATTCTCAAGTAATATTCAAGCATGCCATTCAGCGTGTTAGTACGAGCTCGGGAGCAGCTTGGGAGAACAAGAAAACAGAGACTGCTTCAGGTTGTCTTCCCAAATTGACTCAACTTTATTCACAAGTATAACAGTTTATATAGAGGGTAAAATTCATGAGACAGCAGATTATCAGTTTAAACCAGTACAGACCAAGATAAGGCAGCGTCTTCCTGCCCTTGGGTGAAGAAGCATCCTTTGTGTAGTTTATCAATTCAGCTACAATTGTGATTATCTCAGCGACATATTTTCAAGGCACAAAACAAAGAGTTCTTACATTAGTGAAATCTGAAACAAACCATCTGGCCTCAACAGGCGTCTCCTAAAAGATTAAGAAACTAATGTAGCTGAGGGAGTGATCTCTGTGGTATTTCAACCTTGTACCAGCCTGTGATTCTCACACATCAATTCTTGGGTCAAAGAGAAAAATAACTAAAACAAAGGGGCCTTATTGAATGACAGAGTTTTCCTGCATAATGTCACTATAAAACAATATCCAGTAAATGCTCCCATGGTACTAAAATACCTAACACTGAGAAACATGAGATCCACATTTGAAGACATTCATTTAAAATTTTGATAGTCACGAAGCGCGACCAGTTCTTTAAATTCGGGAAAAGGAGGAAGCACACCTCGGTATTCACCACTCATCCAACGTGTGAAACCTGCTGTGAGGACAATTAAAGTGTGGCCAGAGGGGACAGACGCAGTGCTCCAGGACAGATTTAAAAACACAGACTGGAATATGTTCACCCACACAGACCTGGACCAGTACGCCTCATCTGTACTGGATTACATCTCCAAAACCACAGACAGTGTCACCACCCAGAAACGGATCACCATGTACCCCAACCAGAAGCCTTGGATAAACCGGGATGTTCGTCTCCTCCTGAAGGCCCTCAACACTGCCTTTAGGTCAGGAGATGCACACGCCTACAGCACAGCCAGGGCTAATCTAAAGAAGGGCATCAAAAAAGCCAAACGCCATTACAAAAAGAAGGTAGAAGAACACTTCTCCAACTCCAACCCCCGACGCATGTGGCAAGGACTCCAGACCATTACAGACTACAGGACCACCAAACCCTCCCCCGCATCCTCTGATGTCTCCTTCCTCAACGAGCTCAACAACTTTTATGCTCGTTTTGAGCGAGGGAACCCCACAACCACAACCAAAGCAGACGTGACGCCAGACCACCAACCTCTGACTCTCTCCCCCACCGATGTAGGAGCGGTGCTGAGCAGGATCAATGTCCACAAGGCTGCAGGCCCTGATGGCATCCCCGGGCGTGTTCTCAGAGCGTGTTCTGGGGAGCTTGCAGGAGTGCTCACAGACATATTCAACCTGTCCTTGGCCCACGCTGTGGTACCGGCCTGCTTCAAATCCACCTCCATCGTCCCGATACCCAAAAACTCCAACCCATCTTGCCTCAATGATTACCGCCCAGTAGCACTCACCCCCATCATCACTAAGTGCTTAGAGCGACTGGTCCTAGCACACTTCAAATCCTGTCTCCCCCCCACCCTGGACCCCCACCAATTCGCATACCGCCAGAACAGGAGCACAGAGGATGCTGTCTCCATCGCACTGCACTCTGTCGTCTCACACCTGGACAACAACAACACCTACGCCAGAATGCTGTTTATAGACTTCAGTTCAGCATTCAATACAATCCACCCCTGACAACTCATCAGGAAACTGACAGACCTGGGTATCAGTTCCCTCATCTGCAAATGGTTACTGGACTTCCTGACCAACCGCCCCCAACATGTCCGGCTGGATAACCGCTGCTCATCTACCATCACAATGAACACCGGTGTACCACAAGGCTGTGTGATGAGCCCTTTCCTCTACTCCCTCTTCACCCACGACTGCAGACCTGCTGATGGTTCCAACACCATCATTAAGTTTGCAGATGACACCACGGTGATTGGCCTCATCAGTGACAACGATGAGGCCGCCTACAGGGAGGAGGTGGATCGTCTGGCTGAGTGGTGCGACAGAAACAACCTGCTGCTTAACACCGAGAAGACCAAGGAGCTCATCGTGGACTACAGGAGGAATGCTGACCCACATCCACCCATCCACATTAAGGGGACGGCTGTGGAGCGTGTGAGCAGCTTCAAGTTCCTGGGAGTCCACATCTCCGAGGATCTCACCTGGACGACCAACTGCTCCAAGCTGGTCAAGAAGGCTCACCAGCGCCTCTTCTTCTTGAGGACTCTGAGGAAGAACCACCTGTCCTCAGACATCCTGGTGAACTTCTATCGCTGCACCATCGAGAGCATCCTGACCAACTGTATAACAGTCTGGTACGGGAACTGCTCTGCCTCGGACCGGAAGGCGTTGCAGAGGGTCGTGAAAACTGCCCAGCGCATCGCCGGAGCACCACTTCCTGCCATAAAAGACATCTACAGGAAGCGGTGTCTGAAAAGGGCTGGGAAAATCATCAAAGACCCCAGTCACCCATCACATGGACTCTTCACCCTCCTGCCCTCTGGGAGGCGCCACAGGAGCCTCCGGACTAAGACCACCAGGTACCGGAACAGCTTCTTCCCCACAGCTGTCAGACTCCTGAACTCTGCCTCCTGACATCTGACCCACGTTAAACTCATGGACTGAACATACACACACCCACAATGGACAACTGTACCCTCAAACACACAATAATAACATGGAGTGAACCACCACTCACAACCACTAGCACTTTATATAGCCTCTGTAGAAACTATCTACACCCTCACTTATCTTAACTGCACTACTGTATAGCTCTGTGTAAATAATCATTCTGTACATTCGATAATTTTTAATCCTACAACTGTTTACAACTTGCATAGTTCCCATTTCTGTATAGCTGTATATCCCAGATTCTGTAAAGTTATTTATTTCATATTCTGTATAGTTTTTCATATTTATATCCTGTTCATATCCTGTACATAGCTTGTACTCACTACAGCCTGTACATACTTATAGTTATAGAATATTCACAACATACTTCATACCGTGTACATTATAACATACCATAATAGACCCATTTCTGTAATATACTCACATATCTATATTATTGCTAATATATATTGTAATATATCTATATCACTAAAGCACTTCTGGATGGATGCAAACTGCATTTCGTTGCCCTGTACCTGTGCATGTGCAATGACAATAAAGTTGAATTCTATTCTATTCACTTAAAGGAGCCTCGCTGTGACGTAATCGACCTTCACATGCGGCCTCCGAAGAACGCAGGGACACAGCCCTCCTGAGGATTACCCAGAATCCCTTGCTAATCCTAGTGGGTGCAGGGCGACATTTGACACTGGGTGGCGCTATTGTGCCAGGATGTAACCCTAAACTCTATTACATGAGCATGTGTATTTTGCGCATTAGCGGCCTGGACTTCTGCCTGGAGTCACGTGACTTTTCATTGAAGGGGCACGTGCGCCGGAGCTTCAGCTTCAAACGGACCATCACGAGCAGGAAGCGGCTCCCATGGCCTCTCCACTGAAAGTGTGCATAGTCGGGTCTGGAAACTGGTAAGCTCTTATGATGCTGACGTTGTTGCCGGACGCGGTGCTGCAAACAGGTTGTTGCATCTGTCGGTGTGCGGAGTGTCGTTAGTGCCTACCTGGTTTGTAAGCGTCCTCCTGGAGTCAGCTACGAGGAGCTGGAACAGAGCTTCTTCAGCATAAGCACAGTGCTTTCCTGGTCGTGTTCCTTTTTAATTTCATATTAACTGGTGATGTTAGTTTAAGTGTTGCATGTTTCAGGTGACACATCCGGAAGTTTGCCTTTTTCCAACAGCTGTCCCCTCTGTCTGCCGGCATCCTGCGGTTTGACATATGATACAGGGCTCGCTGAAAACAACAGCTAGTCTGTAGTTAATATTGACACGTATATGAATTTCCATTCTGTTCTGACAGAAACACAAATTATTCTCAGCAAAAAAAAAGTAAATTCGATGTTTTATTCCGCTAAACCATAATAATGTGGTTCGGTGAGATAAATCTGAAGCCAACATTTACCCCTGACACCAGCTGAGTGAAGGGACCTCGAGCTTACCTGCATCCGGGTCACTCTTTCAGCTGTTCATTTAAAATATGCGCACAAGTTCACTGGTGATGGTCAGCAGCCTGCTCCATAAACATGAAACTATGGCGTTATGTTGTGAGCCCCTCACAAACAAATAAAGAAATGTGCCATATGCTTCATGAGCACAGAGGGAGGGCGTGCTGGACATCAGTCAGCATAGAAACAGACCAAAACTTTAAGAACCGGGTTTGTTTGATTTGTTTCCTGTAGGCTGTAAGTAAGTGTTGTTTATTTCAGCATGAAACACGCGCCGTAGTAAGTTCAGGGACTGATCCGTGTGGTAACTCGAGCTTCAGTGCCTACAAGTGTCTCAAAGTTTGATGTGACTAAAGACTGAAAATGTCACCGTCACCAGTTCATACAAGCCTGAGTGCATGTCCATGTCAACATGACTACAGGTAACATTACAAAACAGTGTTTTCTTCAAAAATAAATATGTTTAATGAAGCCTGCTGATTGGACTTGTACAGAGTATTATAGTTCCCAGATTGATTATGACGCCACTGACAGCATACACTCACCACGCATGACCAGAGTTTCTCATTTGACTTGAGGATAAAAATGTCAAATGTTTGTTTGTTTGTTTTTAATTGAAATGTAAGATGGTAAAAACAGTAACAGTGGGCTTAGTAACCAGAGGTGTGGACTCGAGTCACATGACTTGGACTCGAGTCAGACTCGAGTCATTAATTTTATGACTTTAGACTTGACTTGAAAAAATGTTCTAAGACTTGTGACTTGACTTGGACTTTTACACCAATGACTTGGGACTTGAATTGGACTTGAACCGGTTTACTTGAAAAGACTTGCTATTTTACCCCAAATATAAAATTTAACATGCATATTATATAGAGATTGAAAATGTGACGTCATTCACGGGTAGAACCGCAAAGGATTCTGGGAACTCGTGGCAATCGGTACTAACGCACGCAGGCTTTCAATTAAAATCAGTTATACAGCAATAAAAAGAAACACAAAAATGGCAAGAAGCTGTTGTATTATTAACTGCAATAGCCGGTCGCATGACAGCCACGGGAAGCCGACGGGTAAAGAGATCGGTTGTTATCGGATTATGTCGTTGAAGAGAAATTGTTCAAGCCATGTTTCCGAAGTAACAAAGACGCGATGGATGGTCTGGATTGCAGCCATTCAAAGACCAAATATAACGTCCCAGAACACTCCAGCTCACATGTTAGTCTGCTCCAAGCATTTACACGAAGGTCAGTGTTTTTTAGTAGTTAATACGTCATTTTCATAACATAATTAGTGATAGGTTACAAGCAAGTCTGGCGCTGAACAGAAATGGTCGCGCTATGCTCCTTTATTTATTGTGCATAAATAGTGAATTGTCCTGACACAATATTGCGTTTCGCCTCTGTTATTATGGTACACTGACAAAAACATATACTTTTATTCACAGGATAAAACAGGTTTTTTGTATCACTAATTGCCCAGTACGATTACAGCATACAATATTATTGTCACTGCTACATTTCTGTGATGGGTACCAGAAATTATTTCCACTACTGACTAATTACCGTTGAGCTCAAAGGTTATATTAATAAACGGTTAATGAATGTGTATTTATGACGACGATTTGTGAGACTGGTAAACTTATGATACGTACGATGGTCTTTCGTTCTACACTGTGCGTTTCAAGGTCCTGCACCCATCCGTCGGTAAACTGTACCTGGGCTTGTTGCAGTGACCTGAAGTTACTAAACTTCATGAGTGTATGCACTCACTCCAAGAACCGTATGATTATAAATATGCATATAAATATGCTACGATGAGATAGCTGACTTCATCTAACTAGCAAATGTTGTCCAGGCTCCGTTGGTGATGCAGTTTTTTTTAATGTGTATGATATTTTTGTCATGCGATTTTAAAGCCGGTCCTACAACCGCATCCAAGAATAACATGCAGCTTATCTCAGAACTGTCGGTGAAAATTATTCTTGGAGCTAGGTTTAATTGAGCTGCATTTTAAAGAGGTGCAATTTCACAATTTGTGTATATTTTCTAAGTTCACTATTTTGTCATGTGTTGAGAAAAACACAGATTTTAAAATTACATGGTCTAATATTTACATTTAGCATAACTGCAACATTATTTTTTCGTTTGTTTTTTTTAAAGACTCGAAAGGACTTGAAATTCAAAGTTTCAGACTTGTGACTTGACTCGGACTTTTACACCAGTGACTTGAGACTCGACTCTGACTTGCCTGACATTACTTGAGACTTGACTTGAGACTTGAGGATAAAGACTTGAGACTTACTTGAGACTTGCAAAACAATGACTTGGTCCCACCTCTGTTAGTAACTCAGCTATGGCTGTCAGAGTAGACTGATGTCGGGTCAGATTGTGCTTACACTGGGAAACAAAAGCAGAGTTTTGTTATTTTATTTTCCCCATAAACCTTAAAAGGCATCAGTGGCAGACTCTGCTATAAAATCAGTGAGCGTGTTACAGCCCATCAGTGTGGCGTTTAGTGAACAATAACCTTCCCTTTGTCATCTCTGGACTCTTAGTGCATGTTTTCACCTGTGTAACACCTCGATCAGAATCTGTTTTGTTTACATGAAGCAACAGTAGGATCGTGTTCCCGGACAAGAACACTAGCACACCTCCTTAATATGCTTAATCACCTCTCACACCAACTCTCTTCCACTCGAAAAATTCACAAGAATGAAGCTAACGAAGTAGTTTAGGATGGTCCAATTGATTAGCTGACTGAATGATTAATTGATCAATGCCTTGAAACATCTAGAAATATTTGCTGATCTCTGTGTCTTTGTTGCAGGGGCTCTGCTATTGCCAGGATTATCGGAGATAATGCCAGGACATTGCAGCATATTGCTACCACTGTGAAGATGTGGGTGTTTGAAGAAAATATTAATGGCAGGAAGCTTAGCGACATCATCAACACTGAGCATGAAAACGTTAAGTACCTTCCTGGATACAAACTACCAGAGAATGTGGTGAGAAGTAGTATGATGTCATTCTTTTGCTGAGCTCATTAAACTCTGCAGAGCACTAAAGCTGCACTATACTGCCAAAAGTATTCACTCACCCAAGTCATCGAATTCAGGTGTTCCAGTCACTTCCATCAAGAACCCAGGCATGTAGACTGCTTCTGCAAACATCATAGATCAGTGTGATGATGGGATGCAACAAGGCCGGTCATAAATATCCTCTTTATCAAATATTCCACAGTCAGCTTCTAGTGGTATTTTAACAAAGTCGAAGCCTACCACTCAGCCACAGAGTGGTAGCCCCATAAAATCACAGAGCAGGGTCAGCGCACAGTGCACCGAGGTCACCGGCTTTCTGCTACAGGCCTCCAAACTTTATGTTGCCTTCAGATTAGCTGAAGAACAGTGCATAGAGTTCTTCATGGAATGGGTCACCATGGATGCTGTATCCATCACCAAGCACAATGCAAAGCATCCGGTGCAGTTGTGTAAAGCACGCTGACCTGAACTCTAGAGCAGTTCACTGGAGTCACAAATCGTGCAATGATGGACAAGCTGGCGTTTGGTGGCTGCCAGGAGAGCGATACGTGTCTGACCGCAATGACTGCAGTGTCCATATCGACATGGTTGAGAGACTTTGGTGTGGAAGAACTCGACTAGAGTCCTCACCTCAATCGGACAGAACACCGCTGGGATAAATTAGAGTGGAGACTGCGAGCCAGGCCTTACATCAGTGTCTGACTTCACAAACGCGCTTCAGGAAGGAGGTCAAGAATTTACGGAAGCTTGTTTCTGCCAGTAAAAAAGAAAAATGTATCCATAACTCGAAATTTTGAGTTACCTCTGCCAGTCAGTAATCTACATGAATGTCATTTTCTTGTTACTTGGAAGGATATGGCGCGCTCAAAACCGGAGCGCAACAAATTGGCGCCTGCGAGAGTTCGTTCGCTGATAGTGACGCCACGTGATTCAGCTAATAACACAAGGCTTTCATCATGTGTGAAGCCAGGCTGAAAATAGTCAGCAGTTTGTGCATTCATGACTGGCTGTAGTACTGGTAGCTTAGCATAGCATTTGTAGCTGAGGGTAACAAGGAAAAGACGGCATTCATGTAGCTTACTGATTGGTAGAGTTGACTCGAGATTTGGAGAAAATAAGCACACTACGAAATGTGGAGATCCTTCTCGTTAAAGCTGAAGCTGTTATCGTTGCAAAGGGTTGGATGACTTTCTATTAAACCCTTAGATTAAGACTGGGGTGTCACCCCAGTTCATGTATGGCTGAAGACAGACGAGTGAATATTTTTGGCAATATGGTGGAAGTGTGTAACACAGTACGGTGGGGAAATCACCCAGACTCTCAGGATTATTCAAAGCCTACTCAGCTTTGAATTGAATGGCGCTTCTGTCGTCTCCGTAGGTGGCTGTACCAAAGCTCTCTGATGCTGCTATGGGAGCTGACCTGCTGGTGTTTGTCGTCACTCATCAGTTCATTAGGACACTCTGTGATGAAATGGTGGGCTGTGTCTCTGCCAGAGCTCGAGGAATCACGCTCATAAAGGTAATGATGCCCATTTCACCGTCTCGCTATCTCACACTCCACTGCTGCTTTTAACTTTCCAAATTCTGCAGAGCAAAGACCTGACACAGGATCTGAGCCGTGCATACAAACTCAGCTGAACATGCCCGGAGTATCTTTGTTATGTGTGCTTCTAACAGGATCCCTAATGATCAGGATAAGCGGTCACATAAAGCTGTTTTTTGGTTCATATTGCCAGTAAGTGTCTCCAGCCATCCATAAAACACAGCGAAGGTCTTTGGGGTAGTAAAGGTGTAAGGACATTTGGCACACAGACTGCAGTAGCCAGGGATCCGGTGATGTGCAGTATTCATTTTGTGATCAAATATGTCGACAAAGTGAGCGTGTGCGCTGAAGAGTGAGTTTGATGTTTGGATGCCTCTCTTCCACAGGGACCCCCCAACATTCTGATCCAAGCACTGTAAACAAAAACACACTAAACTCAGAGTCCAGTGTTTGTCTGTTTCAGTACTCATGACGCATTCATGGCTGTGTATTGCATTAGTACATATTTTGAGCACATATTTTGCAGGGCAGCCTGTAAGTGCTGCTGTCAAAGCTTTGGCTGCACCCTGGAGCTACGTGGCAGGCAGGAAGAGCCACAATACAGCACTTGGGAAATGAGAAGTAAACTCACAAGCAGTCTTTTAATGTTACGCTTATACCAAGTACAAAATAATATAGATCAAAAACAAGGAAACCAAAACTACAGATCTTCTGTGAACCAGCGCTAAGAAGGGCAAACCAAGCGTCCCAGCAGGTCTCACTGCCTGTCTTGTCTGTCATACATCCCTCCTGGCACGTATCCACCTACTCCACCCTGCCTGCACTCTTCTTCACCTCTCTTTTGCACTTTTCCATGTGTCTCTTTCATTCGCATACACTAGTCATCACATGACCTGCAACACCTTCACCTACTTTTCTGTCACCCTCAGCTGCCACGTAAGATCCCACAGTTCCTCTCTTGGTGCCTCATCTTTCTCTAGCTCCACAGGGTCACATCGCAGGCGTCCATCAGCGTACTCAAAGCAAGCGTCACGTCTGTAGTGCTCTTTCTCTGCATGAAGCCACACTCCCCTTCACTGATCATCACCTTTAACCACTCTTTCCCATACCTCCATGGTATCTGTCTCAGGCTTTATCCCTCAGTAGTTACTACAGCTCTGCACATTACTCTGTTCTTAAAAACTGGTACCAGTGCACTTCTCCATTCCTCGGCCATCCCCTAACCAAACAGTACAATTTGAGTGTGTAACACTGTTGTTTCGAAGTCTTCGGTCTGTAGTTACAGGCTGTTTGTAGCCTGTCCAAATTTGGCACGAGTGTCATTTTTTGCATTTGCCATCAACATGTGTGACTCATTTGGTGACACTGAGGTCTATTACGGGCGATCGTGGCTCAAGAGTTGGGCGTTCGCCTTGTAATCGGAAGGTTGCCAGTTCGAGCCCCGGCTTGGACAGTCTCGGTCGTTGTGTCCTTGGGCAAGACACTTCACCCGTTGCCTACTGGTGGTGGTCAGAGGGCCCGGTGGCGCCAGTGTCCGGCAGCCTCGCCTCTGTCAGTGCGCCCCAGGGTGGCTGTGGCTACAATGTAGCTTGCCATCACCAGTGTGTGAATGTGTGTGTGAATGGGTGGATGACTGGATATGTAAAGCGCTTTGGGGTCCGTAGGGACTAGTAAAGCGCCATATAAATACAGGCCATTAACAAATTTCTAGGCACAATAAGGGGTGTAAACTATAACGCATGGTGGAAGTAGATCATATCTATGTGTTTTGTGGATGCTGTGGTCCTACTGGGCTCATCAAATGCTGATCTCCACAAACCCCCTATCATCAGTCAGAACTGGTACCTCAGAATCCCACGTCATGGCTCTGAAGCTGAAAAGACTCCAGGTTAGAGAAGAATTGCTTCCTCTAGTCAAGAGCTCAAATATCTCTTGTTCACAAGTGGGTGAACAGGTGAGTGTGAGATGGACTGGTTCATCATCTGCAGTTATTTGGACTCTGTTTTGGTAGAGAGGGTGCTGGTGAATGTGTTTGGCTGCAAGCTGTGGGTAGTGACTGGAAGAATCAGGCTACATCAGAAATTAGCTTCATTTCAAGGGCTTAGCCTTGGGGTGAAGAGGTCAGTCAGAAGGAACATATCAGGGGGAGGCTGGTTTCCTCCCTTGACTTTCTGCATGCATCCATCTACAGCATGGGTATAAGCAGCTGTGTCCTTTATGGCTCATCCTGTATGCCATCGCTCATCCACCACCGCCCCTCTCATTACTGTCTCAGGGTATATATGAGGGTCCAGAGGGCCTGAGGCTGATCTCTGACGTCATTCGTGAGAAGATGGAGATTGATGTCAGTGTCCTGATGGGAGCAAACATCGCCAACGAAGTAGCAGCTGAGAAGTTCTGTGAATCCACCATCGGTGAGTAGAATCCACGTGGAAAATGTTATTCAGTAGATTCTATTACTGCCTGCTGTAACTGGCATGTTGTGGATTTAAAAAGAACAAACGGGACCTGGAAGAGAAGAAATGTGTTTTGTTTTTTTGTCCCCTTGGCTTGATTGGATGGGAGTGTAGGGTCTCTGCCTGGTTTAGGAAGCAGACTCATACTGGCAGAGTTCATACTGGGAGATGGTGCGTGATCTGAATTTGAGTCAGCGTTCTGAATAAAGTGCGTGCTAGCAAAGATCAAAATTGTGTAAAACTGAGCTGGAAAACCATGTGGAGCTGGAGCTGGGAGATGCTGTGGGCTTCATGGCGTTCACACGTTGTGTAATAATGTAAGGACAACATCAGATGGATTCGTCATTAATACATATAAAGCTTCAGAAAAGTCTTTTAAAAGATGTATTTGTTGCGGATCATGAGTAATGTTCCCAGGCGAGTCTTTAGTTGTTTTTTCTTAACTTAGCTTTAACTGGTTAGCCTGGAATTTTCTGGATTTATTGTAGGGCTGAACGATTATGGAAAATAATCTAATTGCGATTTTTTTTGCCCCAATATTGCGATTGCGATGCGATATGCGATTATTTTTTTAAGGTATTTGTCTTCTGTATTATTAAACAAAGACAAGCAATACATCATATAGTATGGCCAATACTATATTACATTAATTTTAAACTGTTCTTTCCTGGAAGACAGACCTCTGTTATGATGACATGAGGTGATGCATGAATTGATGACTGACATTTTTATTTAACTTCTTCAATCACAACAGTATATTTGAACATACACAATAGTTTATTTTTAGCTTACAAACATCTGAGCATAAAGTGCTGACAAGGAACCCTGGTGTAAACATTAAAATGAAAGTCAGTACAATGTGCAGATTGCAGAAATATACATAAACAAAATCAGTGGCTTTACCACACTCAGTTTTTCGACATCTGTGAACTACTAGACAGTCATTCAATTAAAAAATAATATTAAATAAATAAAACTAATAAATAAAAAGTACACACATCTTACTGATCTCTGCAGTCAGTAACATTACACATAAAGTGCAAACATAATAGCAATTGTATAAACACACACACAAACACGCCTTTAAAATTTAAAGGCGTGAAATTGGACGGTCTAGTTCTGATTAGCGTCACCGCTGTCTCGGTGGAGTTTAATAAACTCGGCCGTCTGCTTCTTGCTATCTAAAATATAACCAGACACTGGTGTAAATTCTCGACTGTCTCATACTTCTGTTTAATAAGTTTTCTGTTTGACGTTTAGTCAGCTGTGTGAAAACCAAGGAGGAACCCACCCGGGGGATTAATAAAGTTTTATTTTATCTAATCTAATAACTTTAATCTCAGCCAAACCGATTTACTCACGAACAAACAAAACACTGAAAAAAGCCCAACAATAACATTTTTAGGTTGTCTAAGTGACTTATATATTACGTTTAACCCGAGCAGCGAAACTCCGCGGTGATCTGAAAATGATGTGCCGGGAGTTGTGCCGTTCTCGGCCGCATCAGTAACCCTCGAGCTCCCGGCTAGCTGTCGAGCTGGTGGGTAGCAGAAGCCTCTGAAAACGTCGAAGCACTTTTGCAAATATGGGATATCTTGATAAACCGAGCAGATATTTGATGTTTACACAACTACTTTCTCGCCTGAAAATATGTTAAAAGTTTATTTTGTGACCCAGAAAGATTAGTATGAGTAATTTTAAAACTTAGTAGCGGCCGCCATTGCTGGAAACTGGAGTTTGGCTGGGCCGCGCTATGAATTCTGGGATATGGTAGTAATTTGGACAGCCTTCGGCGCGTCGCTGTGACGTAATCGGTCTACAAATGCGGCCTCAGGAGGATGCAGCCCATGAATTTGGACATGTCCAGAGTATAATCGCAGCCTTTGCGGTTAGAAAATTGCACTTGATCATGTCGCGATATTATCGCAAATGCGATATATCATTCAGCCCTAATTTATTGCCATGTTCAAAGTTCTCCAAACTCAGCCTTTGCACCAGAAATCGTCTTTTTGTCACTTATTTCATTTAATTCCAGTTTCAGTTTTCTCAGATTGCTAACTATATGTTATTGTGGTGAAGGTTTTTTTCATTATTTTTCTTGTTTTAATAGTAAAATATTATTCTGTTACTACTTTTCCTGCTTCCTTTAAACGCACAGTGATATTACTGGACGCTCAGTGTTTACACTGCCTGTTCTTTTGTGAAATAACTTGCTCTTTAAGAATATCTGCTCATTGGTGGTGTAACTCCTTTGTGTCTCTGAGAGACAGACACCAGTCTGAGTGTCTGTGATATCCCTCATAATGGAGCTGCTAACTAAAAGTAGTCTAAGCAAGAATCTGAGTGCTGTTCTAGTGAAAAGAAGTCCCTGAGAGCTGAACGATGTAAAGCCAAGCATCACAAAGACCAAAGTTACTCATTTATTGTTCGAGCATGTCTGTAGACTCCCAATTGACTGCTCGGGAGCCTCCTTGGGTGGATTGGGAACAGGACCTTGCCAACCAATAGCTCCAACAGCTCTGTGCTTCATTAGCAGGAAGCCAAGCCATGCATTAGCAATTAGGGATTAATCATCTATTCAAGGCTATTTTGAGAACTGATGAGCATAATGGTCAGTAATGCGATAAGACAGTTTCAAGTTTACCTGTTCAAATAAATTAGTAATTAGTGATCTGGCTTATTTGTATACTTGAGCCTAAAGATTATACTTGGATTAGACTGATTTCCACATCTCCTGTGATTTGTCCGTCCATCCATCTTCTGGGGCCAGGTACGGTAGGCAGCAGCCTAAGCAGAGAAGCCCACACCTCCCTCTCCCCGGCCACCTCCTGCACAGTGTCCTGGGTCTGCCCCGGGTCCTCCTCAGAACACCTCACCCGGGACATATTCTTGCCAGACGCCCGAACCGTCTCAACTGGCTCCCTTCTGTCATGGTCCTGAGTTTGGTGACCCAGTGTTTGTTTTGGATTATTGACATGCTTTATTTCAGCGAGTTCTGACCATCAGATCGTGTGTGTGTGTGTGTGTGTGTTAGGCAGCAGGAATGTGGAGAATGGTCTACTGTTCAAAGAGTTACTGACGACTCCAAACTTCAGGATCACAGTAGTGGAGGATGCTGACACAGTGGAGCTGTGTGGAGCTTTGAAGGTAAACACTTACACATGACACTGAATCAAATACTCTATAATCACATGGCTACCAGCACGGTCTCTCTGTAGTTACTGTCGACTGTAAGGATGTTTGGAGTCTAAATGTCTGTGTAACACTGAAATGTGAAACCTTTTGCTGGTAAAGAGGCAGAACCAGTGTCTGTGGTTATGAAACCAAACTGTCCTTCGTTCCATCTTGAAATATGATTCGACGCCTTCGCCGGGACTTCTTTTGTCATATTTTCAATGGGTGTCAGATATGTAATTGGCCACAGGTGTTGACTGCATGGAACCTATGAATAAACTGATATTCCAAATGCTCTGTGGTTTGGTGAATGCAGCGTCGATGATTTTCATCATTTTATACTATATATGTAGAGCTGGGCGATAGAACGATAACGATATGTATCGCGATATAACTTTTACTCGATAGAGAAATTAAGCTATCGCGATAGACCTCGCCGCTCTTGTCCTCTTTAAAAAAAAAAAAAAAAAAAGGTCAGCCAATCCAAATTAAGCAGCGCAGAGCCGAACCAATCACAGCCGCAGCGTCACGTCGTGTGACTTGTTACGTACAGCACAAGTGCCAAGCCGCACGTGTGTTTGTTTGGGAAGCGGCCAGCGGGTAATGGAGCCAGCGGGTAATGGAGGAAATGAGTGTGCCGACTAGAAAAATCAACCGAGCGTGACCGAAGAGAAAACAGATGATGGTTCCAACGCCGGAGAGATTGTCGAAAGGAAGAGCCAGAGAAGTTCCATAGTGTGAAGGTATTTCGGCTATTTCAGGTCTGACAAAAAACAGAGTAGCGTGCACTGTAAATTGTGCCGACAGCAAGTCTGGAAATACAATAAACTGGTGCATGCGTCACACTGTGCGCCACGTTATTGTTTCGGTGAAATGAATTTCTACAATACTGTTAATTCTACTCTCTGCAGTGTTTAAATGCTCACATATACACACAGTTACTGTCCCTCCACACATACGACTCGGTTCTGCTTCTATGCCCCAGCTTTGTTTACTTTTTCCCACCGAGGCTTCTAGACTTCTGATTGGCCAACATTTCTGCACAGTTAGGAATCTAGCTCCACCTGCTGCTTTGGCATGTTCATAGCAGCGTTTTCCTTCATTTCTGCCTTTATGTGTGGACGGGATTATTTTTTAAAACGAGAACGGAAAATCTCAGTTTTCAAAAATACCCGTGTACGTGTGGACGTAGCCTCAGTCTCTGAGTGGAAGCGCTAATTCGTCATTCGGCTTTTGTCAGACTAAAGTAACTGTTAAAACTGTTTGAAAAGCTCAGCTATACAACAAGGAGAGATTGAGAATTTCCTTTTAGTTCTCAGTTTATTTGATATTGACAAAAGTTAGCCAGTTTTGTCTGTTCTTCTGTAAAACAAACCAAGATTTATTTTTAGAATTAATATTTTGTTTCTAAGTGGAATTGACAATTTAGTCTGTTTCGTTTGTTCTATTTTGAAACTTAAACGCTTTAGCGGCTGCCTTTTGTGTAGTTTGCAATATTTGCCTTTTATTTATCTGAAAAAGTCTCATGTTCCTTAAGTACATCTACCCTGTTGAACTTATTATGGGAAATAAATATTTAAATAAAAACAAGCTGCTGATTATTTCACATTTTACTTGTGAGCAACGGCACATTTAAATCTTACAAATATAGTTATTTGGCTTATATCGTGATAGATATCGTTATCGCCTGAAATGAAAAAAACATCGTGATATGAAAAAATCTCATATCGCCCAGCTCTATATATATGTATATATATTTTTTAAGAGTAGTGTTTAAATTGGAGCATGGGTGCACCAACACACTTGAACAGTCGTGTTAATAATGAGCTTTATTAGGTGTGAGGTGATGCACTCATCAGTACATGATTTTCAGTCTTCTGTTAGTTGCATTGAGAGCTTTACATCATTTTCTAAATGTGTGTTTTTGTTTTGTTCATTGCTGGTGAAGAACATCGTTGCAGTGAGTGCAGGTTTTTGTGATGGCTTGCAGTGTGGAGACAACACCAAGGCAGCTGTGATCCGTCTGGGCTTGATGGAGATGATAACCTTCGCCCAACTCTTTTCTAAGAATGGCGTGGTTTCCACATCGACCTTTCTGGAGAGCTGTGGTGTGGCCGACCTCATCGCTACGTGCTATGGCGGCTGCAATCGACGAGCAGCAGAGGCCTTTGTTAGAACAGGGAAGGTATGTGCACCGTCACGTTTGGTTGTTGTAGTGTATCTGCTCTCTTTCCTCATTACGCATTACTATGTAAAGCTTTATTAGCTCGAACTGTTTTTGGTTTGAAATGACGAACTGCTTTTTAATTGTGCACTTTCTTGTATTTTCTTCTTGTCACACCTGCTGATAGAGCATTGAAGTGCTGGAGAAGGAGATTTTCAATGGTCAGAAGCTCCAGGGTCCTGCCACCTCAGCTGAGGTTTACCGCATCCTCCAACAGAAGTGCCTGGTGAATAGGTCTGTAATCAAGTTTCTTTGTCTGTCTATTGTTTTATTTTTTTTTCTTTTTTGACATGTAACGCAGCTCTGTGCTATATTTTGACTGTAAACTACCTGTCAAAAGTTTGAACATTTATTGGTTTGTCTTTATTTTTACTAAGTAGCTGCCCTTTGCTTTGTTGACAGAGCTGCAAACCCTCATCCTTCTCTTAATGAGCTTCATGATGCAGTCACCTGAAATGGTTTTCCTCACAGGTGTGCCTGACAGGGTTCATTGGTGTAATTTGGGACCATCAGTTGTGTTGTGCAGCAGTCAGGTTGGTACACAGCTGACAGCCCTGTTTGACAGAATCAATCAGCTAAGTAAAGAGAAATGACATCATTACTTTAAGAACTGAAGCTCAGTCCAGAAAATTGCAAAAACTTGAGGACGCCCCAGGAAAGGAAGACCAAGAGTCTCCTCCACTGCTGAGGATGCATGCATCTCACCTCAGTGTTATGTCTTTTCGGGTTCTTTAAATGAACAAACGGGGTCGGGTCAGTTTAGCCCCTTTTACTCAGCATCCGCATTTATGACGAAGGGCAACAAAGTAGAATGGCTCATTTTCGTGGACAACCAGCGTGAGCCTTGTGTGAAAAGGCGAATGTCTAACCCAACATAAGGATGACAGAAGGAACCCACAGCAAATATATTTAATCAAAAATAGCCAGGTCAACTTCTATTTCTGTTACGGACTAGTAACATTTCTGTCCGTGAAATTTACCCATTCGTTATCTCTACGGGAATCCTCCATCACTCTAATTATTACCCAACATCATTTGCCCTTCATAGTCACTGCAGCGTGACATTTCCAACAGTAGGTGGTGCCATCGTCCCATTTAGCAGGATGTAACTTGAACCATTTTTAACTATGTTACACATGGTTCCCACTGTGAAGCATGGAGGGGAAGGTGTGATGGTGTGGAGGTGATTTGCTGGTGACACTGTTGGGGATTTATTCAAAACTGAAGGCACACTAACCCAGCATGGCTACCACAGCAGCCACATGCCATCCCATCTGGTTTGCTTTTACTTGCACCATCATTTACTTTGTTTGAATATGACAATGACCCGAAACACGGTCACCTGACCTAAAGCCAGTGGAGACGGTTTGGGATGAGATGGAGAACAAAGTGAAGGCAAAGGACCAACGAGTGCTCGGCTTCTCTGGGAACTCCTTCAAGACTGTTGGAAAACTGTCTCAGGTGACGACCTCGTGAAGCTCATGGAGAGAATGAAGAGTGTGTGCAGCAGCAATCAAAGCAAAGGGCGGCTACGTGGAAGAATCTCAAATATAAATATGTTATTTCACACTTTTGTTTACTAAATAATTCCACATGTGTTCATTCATAGTTTTGATGCATTTGGTTTGAATCTACAGTATAAACAGTCATGAAAATAACGGAAAACCATTAAATGACAAGGTGTGTCCAGACTTTTGACTGGTAGTGTATAACAAGTACAGAGCTTGAATTAGGGATTTCAATTTTAGTTTATCTTTACATATAATTGGGAGCAGTGGGGAAATGCCTCAAAAATACACATATACATAAAATGGTGACAGAGGGACCCTTAGGCCCCTCCTCGATTCAGAGATGGTCTTTCCCTTTTCACGTAAATGGCCCCTTGACTCTGCGCTCAGGATAGGACAGATTAGATGATTAGATCATGTCTACATGATCTAAAAGCAGATTACTTCAATCTTCCTGAACAGGATAGGGTAAGTATCAGTCCCTGATATGATTCACACCTACTGTACTCTGTGAGCGCCTGGCAGCACAAGAACCAGGCTAACCAAAGGTCAGAGAGTCCTGATCCCCCAGAAGGGACTGGCCCCCATCCAACTACCAACCAATAGCCTGCCTCAGCACAACAGCGACGCTGCTGTCAGGCATCATAGCAGGTGATATGGTTGGAGATTTATTAAGAATTTAAGATAGATCTTAACCAGAGCTCGTGACCACAGGGATATAAATAAACTAGTAAATCAACAGCTTCACTTTTATGTTGAGATCTTTCTTCACCACCATGGACGACATCAGCCTGTCTGTCAATCTCCCAGTCCACTCCTCCCCTCACTCGTGAACAAGACCCCAAGATACTCCACTTGGGGCACCAGCCCCTGCCTTCTTTGGTGACAACCATGGTCTTGGAACTGGAGGTGCTGATTTTCATTCCTGAGTGGTGGGCTGCAGACCACTGTGAGCTGGAGCTCACCACTAAATGAAGCCAACAGAACCGTGTCCAGGCAGACTTCCCAATATAACTGCCAGAATCAGTAACAAAGATAAACCCTAGCGAAGTCCAACACCAGGGGAAGAAGCCTGACTTACCGCCACCGGTGTAGTCCAAGCTCTCGCTGTGGTTGTACAGGAACCATGTGACTTGTAATAACAGACCAGACACCCCTTAGTCCCTCAGCACCTGCCACTGAATCCCTTAAGGAATGTGTCGAAATTCCTTTTCCAAGTCCACAAAACACATGTAGACTGGTTGGGCAAACTCCCACGTGCACTGGAATGTCCCTGACTTGATAAAGAGCTGGTCCAGCATTCCCCTGTCCAGGACAAAAACGACATTAATGAATCTGACGTTCAACTAATGATGGATTCTTGCTTCCAGTGCCCTCACCTGGACTTTCCTGGGGAGGTTGAGGAGTGTGTTCTCTCCATAACTGGAGCACAGCATTAAGTCCTCCTTACCAAAGAGTGGTTTAAGTGCCTAAGTGACCTTGCCCCCGGTGACGGGCGTCATCCCTTTCCTCACAGAATCTGCTTCCTGTATGGAGGTCATGTCAGTGGGATTGAGTAGATGCTTGAAATGTGACGGCGCCATTTCTCCCCCATGTGGTTCGATGGCTACCACAAGCCACCTCTCAGCCGCTTATTATTATTATTATTATTATTATTACTACAACTACACACTTCGAAAGGATTTGAACTATTTTTAAACGCAGAAATAGGTAATAAAGAACAAACTCTCCCTAAACTCATTGAAGTTACTGTAATGAACCGCACTAGGATTCTACGCTGAAACAAACTGAAATATGTTACTGGGTCGTTTTGAGATCGTAGAGATGGTCATACTTTGGCTCATCAGTGTTTAGAACTTTCTTTCTGACTTTAAATTTGAATTTATTTACTTCTGTATTGTTGTTGTTTATCTAGTCTATATACGTTTGTTACATGTGAAATTAATAACTTGAATTTTCTCTTTTCTGCTTTGTCAAGCTCTAACTCTGTCCTTCCTCTCTCCAGGTTCCCTTTGTTCACAGCAGTTTATCAGATTTGTTTTGAGAAGAGGCCAGTCCAAGAAATGATTTCCTGCCTGCAAAGCCACCCAGAGGACATGTGATCGCCTGGTGCGTCTCAGGAAGCTGTTGTTTTTCCATTGATCATTTTCATTCTAAGGTGAAGTTTGCATTAGGTTCTTATTCTGTCAAAAACAATCCCCAACAGCTTTAAATAGAACACCCATAAAATAAAAAGTCCTTTATCATTTCAATTTGTACAAACTGTCAGAAAAAGTTCTTCCAGGCTTCCAACAGTGTAGGATGAAAAATAAATCCCCGTGTTAAAACACAACAAAGACTGACTCTCCCACTCAGTGTGTATCCATGCCAGCCCTTGAACCACTGTCACATATGAAAACGAGGTATAATCTGAGCTTCAAAACCGTGGAACAAATCACCCAATAACATCTATATAAGTGAAATTGTGTTTTAGCGTGGGCCTTTTGTGGCAGCTATATTTGTTTTTGTTACCTACACGACCAACTTCACATTTTTCTCGGCAGGTTGATTACCACGCTGCCCACGGTGCTCCTTAGACTTAAAACACAACAGCACGCACAAGATCAGCTCTGGGTAGAGCATGTGTTTGTGTGTGAGCCTTGTGATAGGAATAGGCTGGGAAACAGATGAATGGATAATGAGCTTGTGTGTCTTTAGCTGTGATACTTCAGTGTGCTGATGTTGCAACCTTCTCAGAATTCTGCTGTTAATTTGTTGGAATAAATGCCACTCAGACTGATTTCTCCATGTTTTATCTAAAAGTTTTCATTGTTAATCTTGAATCGTGTCATGAGATGGATAATAGGTTACAGGTTACCATCTTTTAAAGGCTGCATTCTGTGTTTTTGATTTATTTTTGAAAGATTGTCATTAACATTTGTCTCAGTTTGTGACCAAATATTTCTGGAACCTTTGCATTGCAGTATGTTTCTGTTTCTATCAGTGATTTATCAGATGTGTCACATATCAATAAGCAGTTGTGTGCTCATTAACATTGCTACCTTGCCTGTCAGTGGCCACCAGCATGGTCACTTTGACACACTGCATCCATCACACAGCAGAGGGCGATGCGCTTCAGTCACGGAGAAAATGTCTGCATTTCAATGTCTTTCCAGCTTCACTTGGCTTGTGTTCGTTCAGGTAAACGTAATGAATGGAAGTGAAACAAATAATTAATTTTGCTTGATCACATGTAGCACTAGCAAACCTTTGCCTCTTAAATTGATTTTGCATTAACAGACTAAACTTGAATGCCTTTGACAAAACCAGCACTGGCTGTCAGGTAAACTGTCCACGACACCTTTAGAGTTGCAGCAGGAAGCTACCCACTGAGGAAACATTAGTTACATTTTTGTTGCTATTCTGAAATAAAATATTAGAAACTACACTAAAGTGTTAAGTCTGAGTTGTGGAACATTGAAAGGGGCCCCTTTTGAAATTTCTTTAGAAATTTTCTTTTATTAATATTTTTTAAAATGACTGCAGCACAAATGTTTGACACCACTGTCGTTAAGACCTCTGATGACCTCTGGAATGACTTTAAAATGATAGCGGGACAGATGATGATTTTTGCAGCACAAACGTGGTTTCGGCTCCATCAGCACAAACGTTTGACACCACTTGAAGTAGACCTGGGGTAAAATTTGTAGTACTTTTTTAAAAGTATAAGCTGATTCACTAGTCCAGGCCACATATCTATAGAAAACCCAGCCCGCTGGCTCTGGACATTGTTTGGCAATTTACCACAATTATTCTCCCACCAAGATCTAATGGCCTGTAAGGATAAGGTAAAGCCAATGAATGACAGGCTGCCACCCATGGATAATATAGGTGGCTGTCAATCAGACTCTCTAAAGAAACTCAAGAAGAGATGAGAAACAAAGTCACTGACATCTATGAGTATGAAAAAGGTTCTAAAGCCATTTTACTCCAGTGAACCATGCTGTGAGCCATTATGCACCAATGGAGAGAACTTGGAACAGGGGTAAACCTAAGAAAGAGACTGGGTACAAATGGCATCCATTGGAGAGTTCAAGGTGAAAACCAGTGCCAGCCAAAAAGGGCACGTTTGGGAAGATATTCTGTGGATCCATGACACAAAGCTGAACTTGTTGCAAGATTTGTCGGTGGTAGTGTGGTGCTCTAGGGCTACTTTGCTGCTTCGGGACCTGGAAGACTTGCTGTAATACATGAAACCATGGATTCTGTTCTCTACAGGAGAATGTCCAGCTAGCATTTCATGCTCTGAAGCTTAAGTGCATTCAGGTTATGCAGCAGGACAATAATACGAAACAAACCAGTAAATGACAATCATAGTAAGTGCATAGGCATGAAGTGCTGTTTGAATGTGTGTGCGATTGAGTGGACGGCACTCGTAGCAAGAGAGCGATCCCGTCTGCCATCCTGTTAATTAATGAGGTCACTTGGATCAAGATTTGAGTGAGAGTTGAATCCCCTAGGAAAGGATCTCAAGATTGTATTATAGATATCTGACAGCTGGTGTGGTAGGCCACCACAAATATTTCATCTTCAAAGACTGGAGAAAATAAAATAAAAAACTATATGCCTAACAGTAAAATCGTGCTCACTCACCTAATTACTCTGGACCTTGTTAGTATTTATTCATCAATCTTTAATCTCACAGAAATTATTCAAGTAATAATACAGTCACTTTTATATTAACCCATAATGCAAAAATACACGAACAAAACATTCACCATTCAAAGATTGCTTGGATGGTTTTCCTTTCCAAACACGTGGAGCCAGAAGAAGAAAACTCTGGATGTCAAGCTTCAACCTAACCTGACGCTCCAGTCCGCCTGGTGGCGCAATGGTGCGGCTGGCTGGTACTAGGAATCGCAGAAGAAGAAAACCCACAGCTGCTAACTAAAACGGTCCTACTTTAACGGCAGGGATGTTACAGGCCACTTTGGTTGGTTGTTAAATTGTTACTGACAACATACTGTAAGTCGTTTATAGGATTTTGTTTGCGGCGTAGCAGCAGCTCATAGCAATGCTAACTTTATGTGCTAGCCTGGCTAGCAAACTGGAACCATGTTTTGTTGCCGTCATTGATTAGAAATCCCAAAGGAAACTACAGAGACATTATAATCTGTGGTTGTTCTGTTTTCAAATGTTTGTTAATATTGGCAGAAAAACATGATAGCATGGGATTCAAAGGAGTAAATACAAATTAGAGTTAGCTAACACCGTAGAAACGTTAGGTATCTGTTTCTGTTGATTTTCTTCTGACGAACTGAAGTTACTCTGATTTAGTCCCTGCTGAGCTGTACCAGGCTGCTGCCAGATCCAGTGTAACAAACTATGGAAGTGCTTTGATAAAGGAAATGCAGATGGACCGACTGAAAAGGCCGTGATTACATGCGGATCTCTGGACCAGCTGCGTCAGCAATGTCTGCAATCCCCCTTCTGCGATGCACCATCAGGTAAAACTGTCCCAACACGTACGATCACTAGATTACGTGCGGGCTGGAGTATAATGACAGTTTTAAAACTGATTTTAAAAAGTCTAATATGTGCATTTTGAAGGCATATTAAGAAAAGTATCAAAATGACCGAGTTTGATTTTTGCTTTATCAGCAGTGGACAGAAAATGTGACAGAGTCTTTCCTTTGATGTGTTCCTGCGGTACAGTACGGGGCGCAGTTTACGATCGTCTCGTAACCTGCACTCCAGACATCAGGCTGCTAAAGGCTTTTTGGGTTTCATTTTCCTTTGTTGGGATCGACACATCTGTAATAACTTACATTTAATGCAGTCTTTAATATAATTCAGTGCAAACATTTTGACATTAAAAGTAGGTTCTAAAATTTTATCTTGAAATTATTAACTTGCAAAGTCACATGATCATCCCGTTCACTTCCGTTTAAATATTTCATAAATCTATGAAATATGTAAATCAACGTTATTTTTCCAAACCTTTGTGATTATTTTACATCTTGTTTAACAGCTGTAGGTCAAAGGTCTCATTTTGGCCACAGAAAAGTTCCACTTTGCCTCGTTAGCCCAAACATGACAGAGTGATAGTTTTATCCTGCAGTCCTGGATAGCACAGCAAACGTTTTTCACAGTCAGTGAATTCAACAGGTTTAAGGGCAGTTAAAGACTCTACAATGTCAGATAATTCAAAGTGCTTTCATTATTATTTTTTATTATCATTATATTAGCGGAGTCGTCTCAAAAGCCAGCTAAAAGTTCCCAGTTGGGACTAAACCAGCTGATGTTAATTTGCAAGTTGCGGAGCTGCTTTCTGGTCACTGATAGAGTTCAGCTGCTGTCTCTACCTTCCATGCACGTGTTCAGTACTTCCCCCTGTGTCATTCTCTTATTACACATGACGTACCCTGTAAGAACGCATTGTTGACAAACAGCGCACTCAAAATAAATTTTTTTATTTATATAAAGGTGAGAATATTGTACTGATGTGTCACATAGAGAAGCTGGATGGGGGGTGTGAGCAGTGATGGTGACTGCTACACAATCTGGACACAGACACACACACCAGGGCGAAACAAGCAGAATGATGGTCACATGGTCATCTCTGGTCTCTACAGGTCGAGTAGCGCCCCCAGCATTCCCCAGCTGACTATCCCCCAGTAACATTACTGGGGGATAGTCAGCTGGAATTCTGACAGTTCATTTGTTTTGTTTTCTTTTAATATCACTTAGAACGCTTTTGCTGTCAGTGCCTCATCGATCTGTCTGTCTGCTCAGGTACTGCTGTCCGACTCCATGCCATTACTGTTGGATCTCTGTCTTTTGTGATTTTGTGTGACTCTGGGTGGGTCTGTCCTTTGTTAAAGACATTACTCTCTTACCCTTAGTTTGCTGTGGCAGAGAGCTATCATGTGAAGCAGGGCTTCAACAAGACATATAAATATACCAGTCAAATGCAACACTGCTATAAAAAGAGCAAGACTTCATTTTGTCGCAGGTCAAAGTGGAATGAATGTGATTGGCTGAACAGCTGTTCATGCTGTGTTATCTGTACTTCCATCAGTGTAAAAGACCCAGCAGCAGATTAGAATGAAGTATAATAACACTAACACATGTAATAAATCACCAGATTAATACACTCATGTTCCCGTGACAATGCGGCGCACTGTTTGCTCTTCATTCAGTGATTTCAGTACAGCCGGCTGCTGCTCATAAAACATGTTCCCCCATCATATAAACACTTATTCTCTCAGCTGAGACTCGCTGCTGTTTAAAGGTTTGAGAGTAAAGGTTGGATATAAAAACATCAAACATGGGCTCAGTCGGCAGTTACAGTGTCTGTGTCCTGTTTCAAGACCATAAATGTACGATTGTTTTTAGCCAACATGAGAAATGTAAAGTTGTGTCTATGACTTTGTTACTGATGGCGAGCAGGGAAACAAAGACTTTATAGGCAGACGCATTATTTTCATCATCAGCACGTTTCAGTTTGTTTCACAGTTTTTCAGCAGTGCTGGAAAACTAACCGCACGGCTGATAAATGTCTGTCGTTTAGCTTCAAAGAGACATGAGGTGATGATGCGCAGTGTCCGTGGTTACCATGGTTACTGGATAAGCTGCTGATAAATTAAACAGCTGTCACCGTGTTTATGTTTTCATTACAACTGTCTGACTCGGTTAACTGAAGTAAACTTGGATAACTTCTAGTTTAGGAGTATGTGTGTGTCCTCGGAAATCTGGACTCGTGCGGACTTTCCAAGGACAAACAAGAAAGAACTGTACACCACTACACTGAAATAAATAGACTATTACTAAAATACACGTGCTATATCATAAACTATCATATAAATCTGGAGGTGCTATTAACATGTGTAGTTATAAAGGACAACTTCCTGCCTTTAGTCTTATTGATGAGCAGCATTAGTTTTCTTCTAATGTCCAGAAGTCTGCATCGTGTTTCATAGTTTCTAACAAGCCTTTAAAGTTAAACGTAACATGACTGAAACACCAACATCTGCTTACTGAACAAAAACCCCACACAGATGTTAATGTGATTTTATTTTTATTTTAGTAAACTCTAAAAAAACAAAAATTGTAACAGACAGCTGGTGCTTAGAATACAGTTGATTAAATATAAATATTATTAACACAGGAGAATTCACCTGTTAGCCCGAATGTTTAACTGACTTACTTTATAAGTGAGCGCGTGGAGGAGAGCCTGTTTGTGTCAGATGACAGCTGGTTCACCGGACCGACGAGCTGGACTCAGAAACTGATGGAGAAGCATGGAAACTTCAGAGAGATGCCACACCTTTTGGAGACCTCATGTCATCTCACTTACTGGATTCCCTCATTTTAGAAGTGAGGAAATGTGAAGCTCAAATGTAAATGAAGAAGACTGTAATGTGGAGGGGGGGGGGGTTCCCTCTTGCTGACATGCTGATAGATGTCAGGATTTTTGATCATGTTTTGAATCACAGTTATGTTTGTGGTGTGATGTGTAGTAAGCTGTTAGGTTGTAAATTAGAATAGTGCTGAACACATTTTGTGAACATTTACAGTGGGGCAAAAAAGTATTTAGTCAGCCACCGATTGTGCAAGTTCCCCCACCTAAAATGATGACAGAGGTCAGTAATTTGCACCAGAGGTACACTTCAACTGTGAGAGACAGAATGTGAAAAAAAAATCCATGAATTCACATGGTAGGATTTGTAAAGAATTTATTGGTAAATCAGGGTGGAAAATAAGTATTTGGTCACCTCAAACATGGAAAATCTCTGGCTCTCACAGACCTGTAACGTCTTCTGTAAGAAGCTTTTCTGTCCCCCACTCGTTACCTGTATGAATGGCACCTGTTTGAACTCATCATCTGTATAAAAGACACCTGTCCACAGCCTCAAACAGTCAGACTCCAAACTCCGCCATGGCCAAGACCAAAGAGCTTTCGAAGGACACCAGGAAAAGTATTGTAGACCTGCACCAGACTGGGAAGAGTGAATCTACAATAGGCAAGCAGCTTGGTGTGAAAAAATCAACTGTGGGAGCAATCATCAGAAAATGGAAGACATACAAGACCACTGATAATCTCCCTCGATCTGAGGCTCCACGCAAGATCTCATCCCGTGGGGTCAAAATGATCATGAGAACGGTGAGCAAAGATCCCAGAACCACACGGTTGACCTGGTGAATGACCTGCAGAGAGCTGGGACCAAAGTAACAAAGGTCACCATCAGTAACACACTACAACGGCAGGGAATCAAATCCCGCAGTGCCAGACGTGTTCCGCTGCTGAAGCCAGTGCATGTCCAGGCCCGTCTGAAGTTTGCCAGAGGAGGATCATGGATGATACAGCAGAGGATTGGGAGAATGTCATGTGGTCAGATGAAACCAAAGTAGAACTTTTTGCTATAAACTCAACTCGTCGTGTTTGGAGGAAGAAGAATACTGAGTTGCATCCCAAGAACACCATACCTACTGTGAAGCATGGGGGTGGAAACTTCATGCTATGGGGCTGTTTTTCTGCCAAGGGGACAGGACGACTGATCCGTGTTAAGGACAGAATGAATGGGGCCATGTATCGTGAGATTTTGAGCCGAAACCTCCTTCCATCAGTGAGAACTTTGAAGATGAAACGAGGCTGGGTCTTCCAACATGACAATGATCCAAAACACACCGCCCGGGCAACAAAGGAGTGGCTCCGTAAGAAGCATTTGAAAGTCCTGGAGTGGCCTAGCCAGTCTCCAGACCTCAACCCCATAGAAAATCTGTGGCGGGAGTTGAAAGTCCGTGTTGCTCGGCGACAGCCCCAAAACATCACTGCTCTCGAGAAGATCTGCATGGAGGAATGGGCCAAAATACCAGCTACTGTGTGTGCAAACCTGCTAAAGACCTATAGTAAACGTTTGACCTCTGTTATTGCCAACAAAGGTTATGTTACAAAGTATTGAGTTGTATTTTTGTTATTGACCAAATACTTATTTTCCACCCTGATTTACCAATAAATTCTTTACAAATCCTACCATGTGGATTCATGGATTTTTTTTTTCACATTCTGTCTCTCACAGTTGAAGTGTACCTCTGGTGCAAATTACTGACCTCTGTCATCATGTTAGGTGGGGGAACTTGCACAATCGGTGGCTGACTAAATACTTTTTTGCCCCACTGTACTTTGCTGGCTGATTGCGTGCCTCGGTGCAGCTGGTCTGTCAAGGAAAAGTTGTAGTGTTGGACTCCAGATTGTTGGTCCCGTGATTCGAAAAGGCTCTTTTCCACACAGTCCTCATTCAAATATTGCAGCTAACAGGGTGATTTTCCCGCCTCAGTGCAGCTAGCCAAACAGTAAGTAAGTTTTACACTGGTGGATTTTAACTTAGGTGTCTCAAATATTACATTTTAGTTCAAATTCAAGGTATTTATTTCTATGTCATGTTACTTTAGTACCTGTGTGACCGTCTCACAGACAAATATTGATATACTGTGACCACTAAAACTGTCTGAAAACTTTAGTTAGTTATATTTAAGGGCAGTATCCCAGAGTGACAGCTAAAAATAAACTAAAAAGACGCGATCCTTGTGTAGGTTTGTGGTCTAAGGAGCCTGGAAAGAAAAACATCTGGACTATTTAAGTGTCCTTGAAGCCGTTTAATGGTCAGCAGTCCCACATTTGTCCTCAAAAGGGTTGTGGACCACCTATTGGCTGTTACGCTGGGAAAATTGTGCAATATAATTTTCTTAAGATGTTAAAGATATCAGAGCATTGAACAGGCTGGTGTTTTGTGAAGAGGATCTAACAGGAGAGAGATGATAGAGACACATGACGTCCTTATAAAACACAGTTGAACTTTATGAATGGACAGCTTTTCACAGGTCTTTGGACTTTTTATTTAAAGGGACTGCATAGTTTTTTACTGAAACTGACACAATCCCACTTTGATTTGACTCAGAGTACAGACAGTGGACTCTGGTGTCAGCAGAACCACCTGCTGATCAACGCCGTGAAAACCAAGGAGTTGGTGGTGGATTTCCGGAGACGCAGACCCACCACACTGACAGCGGTGAACATCCAGGGAGTGGACATTGAGATAGTGGACTCTTATAGGTACCTGGGTGTTCACCTGAATAATAAACTGGACTGGAGCCACAACACTGATGCTCTTTACAGGAAGGGTCAGAGCAGACGCTACCTGCTGAGGCGGCTGAGGTCATTTGAAGTACAGGGAGCGCTTTTAAAGACCATCTATGACTCTGTGGAGGCATCCGTCATTTTTTTTTTACAGTGTGGTATGTTGGAGCAGCAGTTTATCGGCAGCTGAGAGGAAGAGGTTGGATAACCACATCAGGAAGGCCAGCTCTGTTCTGGGATGCACCTGGACCCAGTGCAGGTGGTGGGAGACAGAAGGACTCTGGCCAAAATAACATCTCTGATGGACAGAGTCTCCCAGCTCATGCATGTAAATGCTGCTGAACTGCAGAGCTGCTTCAGTGACAGACTGCTGCATCCTCGATGCATGAAGGAGCGTTTCTGCAGGTCCTTCCTCCCTGCAGCTGTCAGGCTGTACAATCAGAACTGCTCCCAACAAACATAATGTTTACATCAATGCTGTAACTTTCACTATTTTATCAACTGATTCACACTACAACATGGGTTTGCCTCTTATCTGTATCCATCCATCCATTTTCTTCCGCTTATCCGAGGCCGGGTCGCGGGGGCAGCAGCCCAAGCAGAGAAGCCCAGACCTCCCTCTCCCCAGCCACCTCCTCCAGCTTATCCGGGGGAATACCAAGGCGTTCCCAGGCCAGCCGAGAGATATAATCTCTCCAGCGTGTCCTGGGTCTGCCCCGGGGCCTCCTCCCGGTGGGACATGCCTGGAACACCTCACCCAGGAGGCGCCCAGGAGGCATCCTTGTCAGATGCCTGAACCACCTCAGCTGGCTCCTTTCGATGTGGAGCAGCAGCTGCTCTACTCTGAGCCCCTCCCGGATGGCCGAACTTCTCACCCTATCTCTAAGGGAGAGGCCAGCCACCCTTCTGAGGAAGCTCATTTCTGCCGCTTGTATCCGCGATCTCGTTCTTTCGGTCACTACCCACAGCTCGTGACCATAGGTGGGGGTAGGGGCGTAGATCGACCGGTAAATTGAGAGCTTCGCTTTTACACTCAGCTCTCTCTTCACCACAACAGACTGGTACAGTGCACTGCAGCCGCACCAATCCGTCTGTTGATCGCCCACTCCCTTCTTCCGTCACTCGTGAACAAGACCCTGAGATACTTTAACTCCTGCACTCGAGGCAGGAACTTGTTCCTGACCAGGAGTGGGCACTCCACCATTTTCTGGCTGAGGACCATGGCCTCAGATTTGGAGGTGCTGATTCTCATTCCCACCGCTTCACACTTGGCCGCATTCCACTGGGCCTGTCGGTACCTGTCAGCTGCCTCGGGAGTCCCACAGGCTAACCAGGCCAGATAGGACTCCTTCTTCAGCCTGGTGGCTCCCTTCACCTTTGGTGTCCACCATTTGGTTCGGGGATTACCACCACGACAGGCACCAACCACCTTGCATCCGCAGCTCAGTGCAGCAGCTTCGGCAATGGAGATACTGAACATGGTCCACTCGGACAAATGCCCCCAGTCTCCCTCGGAGTGCCGTTGAAGATCTCGCAGACCGGGGGCTCTGCTAAACGTTCCCAGCACACCCTCACTGTACGTTTGGGCGTGTCAAGTCTGTCCAGTGTCCTCCCTCGCCACCTAATCCAAATCACCACCAACTCATATTTACTTTTATTTAATTCAATAACGGTACAGTACTCTGTTTTTGGTAACTATTGTCCATGATGTAAATATGTAAGAAAATGTTTCTGTTCGGTGTCCTGTTTGTTTGTATGTGTGTTTTTATTGCTGCTGTTACAACCAAATTTCCCCTTGTGAGACAATTAAAGGATTATTCTATTCTATTCTATTCTGATTAAAACAATTCTTAACTAAATATATTCTAGATAAAACAAAAGTATTATCAAAGTTGTCTGTGGTTCCCTTTATTTTTCCGTCGTCCCCTATCACATCCTGTCCTGCAGGATAAACATCAGTGAGTCTTTGTGTGACTCTCTGTATGCAGCTGTTAAAGTTTGTGTTGGAGATACTCGTTTCCTGTATTTGCAGAGGTATCTAGAAATAGTTTTAAACGTTCCCACCAGTCCCAGTCTGTTCTCGTCCTATTCTTCATCTCCCAGCTGATGCTGGTTCCTCTTCCTCCTCCTCTTCTTCACACACTGCTGAATTTGTCCTGGGGTGTCATTATGGGTGGAAAACCTCTGCCGTGTCACGCTGTGGATTTCTCAGTCTCTCCTGACTCTGGACACTTTGAAAAAGAAATCAGCCATGGCAGATAATAACAATAGCAGAAAACTCTGAGTTTTTTCTTGTGTGCACAGTGAAAGTGGACGACAGTATATACTCAGTTTGAACAAAAAGCCCATTGTTGCAGGCAGCTGCAGTTATGCCTATGTCAGCTTTGGAGAGCAGGGTTCAATGATGTAAAATAGTCTCTTTTCTGTAATGTCTGTCCTTTTCTCTGCAGGCTGCAGTGGAAGCATTTTGCCACACATGCTGTGCAACAGAGAGCTCTGTCAGGGGCAGAGGCTGTAAATGCTCTCAGGCCCTTTTATTTTGCAGTCCACCCAGACTTCTTCGGTAAATATCCCAAAGAACGGGTAGGTCTCATATCTGTCATGACATAAATCCAAATATGTGTTATTGGAAACATGTGATCGTAAAGTAACAGTTCGAAAACTTACTGCCAGGTTTACATGTGTGTGACGCCTTATAGGCACAACAAAGAAGAGGCAATCCATAGTGTACAGAATACTTATCATCTATGTGCTCTGGGATCCGTATACAATATAAAGTAATATGATGTGATATAAAATAATATTTAATGATAATAATCTGTGCACATACAACACTGTCAGACGTTTGTTGGGATGAGCTGCCATGATGTAAGTTCTGGTACCTCTGTGTTACAGGAGGTGAATGAAAACTCGCTAAAGAGGCTGAATGGCTATCTGGAAAACTTGCAGAAGCCCGGCTCACGTTCAGTTCAACCCATGAAGCTCACCTTTTATATAAGGAACACAAAGTACAGCAGTAAGGTGCAGCCAGAACTCATCAGCTCAGGTGCATTTCTTTTAAAATGCTCAAAGTACCAGTCAGGTTTTTTGGGGGTTTTAACATAAAATTGCTCCTGTTTGCTTCTCAGGCTTCCGCTCCGTAAGTTTTACTTTGCACACAAATGATGTTTTGAGCACAGTGATGGATGTTTTGACGAGCTGCAGCCTGCCTGTGGAGCACATGAAGGGACTAACGGCGAGTAAAGCAGCAAGTAAAAGTCCCACTGAGACGGGGGAGCCTTTCTACAGAACCATCAAATGGGATAAAAGCTATTACACCTTCACTGGCTTCAAAGACCCCGAGCAGGAGCTGCAGCAGGCCCAGAGAGCCGAGCCTACGCTCAGGTAGGCTCGGCTCTCTGGTTGTGGTTGTCTCATCTCAACTGTAGGAAAGTGTTGAAACCTTCTAAACTCAAACACTGCTGTTTGTGATCAGTCACGGAGACACACTGCTGTGTTTGCTGTGGATTTTATTTCTATTCAGTAAATAGCAATAGGGCATGCTAAAGCTAATGTGTGCATACATGGTCACTTATATTTAAATGTAATAATGTGAAAGTACTTTATTTATAGTTCACACAGTTCTAGAGAGGGAGACGTCAGAGTAATGTGACATATATAACAACACAAAAATGTTTTGCAAAGATGGTGATGACAGATTTTCATAACTACAGCAATTATATTTAATGACTTGTACACGATCTTTTTTGCCAGTGTGTGGTTGAGAAACAACGAACCTGAAGCCTCAAAGAAACACAATGCGAGTCTTCCTCGGAGAGAAGAACTGAAGAGACTGAAGAGGGAGCTGTGTCGCAGATTTAATCTGACCGATATCAGGTACAGCCGTCTTTACTGTTTCAGAGGTTGCCCTGTCTGCTGTTCCTGAGGGCACAGAGGTCTTTATTCTGTGCACTGAACTGTAAGAAACTGTGTACATGTTACTGTTACTGAATGATGAGATCAGCTGTGTGGTGCAGATGGCAGCGCAGCTGGGGAGTCTCCCACAGGTACTGTCAGCTTCAAAGTCTGAGCCGCCTGTCTCACCAGAACCCCGAGGCTCTGATCAACCTGCAAGGTAAATAATCTCACTGAGAGGTTACAAGCAAGCTGCGTTCATTAGTAATACACACAGTAGCACAGATCTCTGAACTGTTGTCTGTCCATCAGGTAAAAAGGTTCATGGCTTTTACCACCGTCAGTCCTGTCACGTGCCTGTTATGTGTGATACAGTCCTTCACTCCAACACAGTCGATTTTTAATTAAGCCGTCAAAATGTGACTGAAATGGAGACTTTCAGCTTCACTTCAAGGGTTTAATAAAAGTACTGCATTCATTGTTGTAGGAATACCAGCCATCGTTATCTGTAGCACCTCCTGAAGCTCAAAAGTAATTGGACAAACTTGCATAAGTATGATAAGGTTTGTTTCAGTACTTGGATAAAGCATGATTTACTCTGTTTTCTTCTTTCAGATGCCTCAGGGCTCACAGGGTGCTATGATGATAGAATCTGATACAGATGACAAAGACAATACTTAACACCATTTTAAATACCATGGAGGAAATAGATTAAGAGGCTTATTTTATTTTATTTTTTCAAAGATTTAAACAGTACAAAAAATAACCTTGATAGCTAAATTAGTTTTAAGTTTTCTGATGTGCAAAAAATACAGCAACAAAACAGCAAAGTCTACAAAAGACAACCGATTTAAAATGTTCTTATGTAGTGCAAAAAACCCAAATACAACAGTGTGTTTAGGCTGAGTACTGATGGCTTGGTGCCATTGTTTCTGTTAATGCTGTGTATTTTTCTCCTTTTTCTTTTTTTCTCTGTAGTGTTTTCAAATGTACAGTCGATTTCATTTATAGAGGTAACACACTGTGATCGAGGATCATATCACTGTAAATTAAATCTCTAAGCATCATCTTCTTTAAATACACAGACACACATACAATGATCAGGCGTAACATTTATGAGCGTCTGCTAACAGCCCATCGAGGGCTCTTAGATTGCTGTAGGTAGCCACGCTTTGCTTTGCAAACCCTCGGCCCTCTCGATGAGCTTCATGACCAAATTTATGCACCTGCCTAATTTAGTTTCAGTAATATTGCACACTTTCTGTAGATCCTATAAACTTCATTTCACTTCTTAAATGTCATTGTGTTCGTCTGCTATATGATATATTTACATGAAATTGCTGATCCAAACAGCCAATGATTATTGAAGAAAAATCATGAAAATTATCAGGGGTGCCCAAACTTTTGCATACCACCGTAGACGTGTGAGGGGAGAGCAAGAACTTTGTGAGTCACTGAGTCGGTTTTTATCTGAAAAGGCAACCCTACCCATATGGAAAAGAAATAGAAAAAAACTTCTAAAAGACTTGCATCAGATGTGGCCTACTTCATGAGTAAATCATATCAGGCTTCTATGATTTACTCATGAAAGTGGCCACTTTCTCATCACTTTCATATATTGTTTTAGTATCCAAAACATACAAGTTTCATTATATAATTTTTCAAGGGATCTTATATCTGTTTTCACTCTTGTATGCTTTTCATACAAGTTTCACACAAGACAGATACAAACTTTATAAGATTTATATATCTTTTCCATGTGGGCGGCTAGCAACAGTACATGTTTTAGAAGCATCATGAGATTTCCTGTGGCTTTAACAGCCATGCCCATTGTTAAAGCGTTTAAGCTAGCTGCCACACATCATTGTACAGAGTTGATCAGACCCTTCATGAGTGACAGCTTACCTGCTGGAGGGATCCTCTGCTGTGATTGGCTCTTATAATTTGGCTAGGTTGGTCAGACAGAGATGAGGTATAAACAGGAAGTGCAGTGTCCATTTACTTTTGAAGCTTTGAAAGTGGGCGACCATAGATAAAAATTGCTGTAATTACAAAATATTTATATTAACCATTAATATTAAACCTTTACATAAACCAAGCCTTTAAATTGAAGCTGAAAGTCTACACTTACGTGATATTTTGATTTGATTTATAATTTGGTTGTGTACAGAGGCAAAAGGACAACAACTGTGTAACTCTCCGTACATGTATGTAGTGCCGTGGAAATACCCTCAAAATCTTGAGATCCCTTAACCACAGGTAGAAAAAGCACCGCAGTGTTTCCATATTCTCTATGGTCTCTAACAGGTTCAGGTGATTCTAGCTATTGTGATGTACCCCACTGTTAGACCCCTACAGGCTGTACAACAGCAGCCTGACTGTCATTCGGTATGAAGATGAAATCCTTGGACCCATTGTTAGACCCTACGCTGGTGCAGTGCTTCTGGGTTCCTCCTGGTGCACAACAGGTCTCGGCCTCAGTGGTGAGAGTACGAAACACGTGCAGGAACTCAGTGATGTCCTGGTCCACATCTAGGAGGAGATCCACAGGACATCTCATTAGGAGCATGCCCTGACATTCAGGCATGTGTACAAGAACATAAGGGGGCAGAGTTGGACTAACCTTCCACCACATTGATTTTGAAGGTGTCTTTGAATTCAGCCTTCTGTAAGCAGCTCTCCTCGAAATCTGTGCACTTGGTAACTGGCTGGGTTAAATGTAGCGGCTCTGAAAACTAGCCCCAAGGATCTGTTCATTTCTAAGAGTAGTGACCTATAAGAACCCTTTGAGTGATATTATAATAATATGTAGGTTTTTACTGGTTTTTACAGGTTTTACGAATGAAACGTTTCTCCCACTGAAAACATCCAGATGAACAGAGTCAAATACGTGAATTATCTAATTTACCTACTGTGAGCTAAGGCGGAGAAAACGGGCACATCGAGGCCTGAGTGGACTCTGTGTCACGTTGATAATAATCGTCTACCAGGAAAGCAGCATCTCACTTTGTTCTCAGTTTTCTTCCTGCTCTTCCTGGGCGTCACAGCGTCTGAGATGGTGTCTGGCCTCCCCCGTTGCGACATTGAATCAGCTGATCGTCAGCCCCCCCGTCACCATACTTCACCGTGGTTTAAAACAAAATGGAAACTTTAAAAGGACTTCCTTACATTTTCTTCTATTCTACGTTGTAGCTCCTAAGCTAGGGCAGGCCCGAAGGTTGGTGGTTCGATACCTGGCTGTTGATCCCAAGTTGCTCTCTGATGCATCCATCACAGTATGAATGTGTGTGAATGATTTTTTTTTTCCAATGTGTTTTCTTTCTGTGTGAATGGGTGACTGACAGAAGTTGTATCAAGTGCTTTAGGTTTCCAAATAAAATAGCAAAGCTCTATATTAGAACCATTTTACTTTAACCTTATTTATCATTGATTCCATCACACATTAAATCGAACACGTTATACTTCATGCTTCATTCAGTTAATGCTGCTTTACTTCAGCAGTGTTTATCGTTACCTCACTCACATGAACTTTGGACTGGAGATCATTCACATGAGCGAAATAAATTGAACACACAGAGTCATGACATTTAGTTTTGCTTCCAACATGACCTCGTTTTGACTCACTACATTAGAACACTTTTCCTCACTTCTTCTTTCTATAACGCTGTTTGACCACCTCACCTAGGAGGTATCTCAGGGGGCTGAACCACCTCGACAGGCTCCATCTGCAGGAACAGCGACTCTTAGGCTGCGTTCACTCTGCAGGTCTTGATGCTCAATTCAGATTTTTTGATCAAATCCGATTTTTTTGTCTGCTCGTTCACACTACAAATAAAATGCGACAGCAAACGTGCTCTAGTGTGAACGCTCAAAGCGGCGCATGCGCAAAAGAAGACATCACACACAACACGCTCTGTTTAGACCCAGAGCAACAGTATGTGTGACTGATGGCCTTAATATAAAGACTTTACGTTTCCCAATTTTTGCTTTAAGTTATTCTGTTATTTACATAATGATGTAAATAACCTAATAATGATCCTTATTGCTGTTTTAGAGGAGCGCTGCTTCAAAGGATAGTTTCTGTCAGAATCTGCAGATTATACAGGACAAAGAAAATGTTCACGTTTCTCCAACGTTGTCGTCCCAACAGTTTCACTGGATGACCAGGAAGCGTTCACGTCGTCTTCTCCGGCGCTGATATTTGGCGTCTGTCTTGCGTCAGTGACGTAAAAGACGGATTCAATGCGACCTGACCATCAAACAGCAGTCGCTTTCTGAAACATCAGATATGTATCAGATTCAGGACCACATATGAAAGTGACCCAGATCGGATTTGAAAATATCAGATTTGTGCCGTTCACACTGTCACCATGATCAGATAGATGGTCGCAGAGGGTCAAAAAAGTCGGATTTGATGCGCTTTCGCCTGCAGTGTGAACACAGCCTCTCCAATGAGTGAGCTCCTCCCTCTGTCTGGAAGGCACAGCCCAGCCACTCTTCAAAGGAGACTTGTTTCTGACGCTTATGTCTTATATCAGCCTCGTTCTTTTAGAGCTTGTGACCGACGGTTGGAACTGTCTGTCAGTCTTGTGTTCTACTCATCCCTAACTCGGGAACAAGTTCCCCAACCTGAAGGGGAACAATTCAGGGGTTTCTTGGCTGGGCACATCTAGGAATAGCGACATGGTTCCCTCCTCCTGTGGGCTCACCATCCACAGGAGGGCCGTAGGGGTTTGGTGCTTACTTGATTGGGTGGCAGGCAGAGGACCTGGCCCTCCAGTCCACGGCCTCCAAAACTGGCTTGTGGTTTGTTAATCACTATATAACTTGTTTTAAAATGATACATGGTAAAGTCAGAGATTCTCTGAGGTTAGTGGCTTCTTAGTGTGTCACTCCATCCTCTCTCTCTCACACACACACACACACACACACAGCCGCCAAGGCCATCTTTGCCCGAACAGGCCGCTCTGTACGGAGTCTCAGTGAGGTCCTTTTTATCAGAATCATGTCATAGATTATATTTTCTTATTAGTTGTAATGGTCGAACTTATAACCGATTATCTTCTGATCAGTTTCTAAGCTGTTAAGCATGATTAACTTTGACCACAATCACATTTATATTATGGTTCTGTGTTGAGCAAATACAACCATAACGACGGGCTGGAGACACGTTTCTTATCTTTCACATCCTGATCTGCCAGGGTCGAAACATCCTCCATCATTACTCATTCAGCATATCAGTAAGTCTCTGATTAATATTTCTGGTTATTAGAGATGATTTACGGTATTAAAGAACATGTAAACTCTTGTTTTAGCACAATTATTTCAATCAAACACTGTTTTCACCAAACAAAGTCACGTCCTCCATCAGCGTGAGGTTTTCATATCGACCTCTGATGTGTTTTCAGACAGTGATCATATCCTAGAGACCTGTTTCTGTGGAAAGAGTGGGTATCTCATCATTTTGGGAGCATTGCCACTGCGTGTAGATGTGTAGAACAGTTTTCACGCACTCGTCTTCTTACCAGGACATACGGTTGTGTTTGCCGACCAGTCAGGGATGAATGCTTCTGGACACGTCATGCTGGGAACCATGGATGTTCATCATCAGTGGACAAAAGTAATGCAGCTGTCGCTGTCCTGCTGGCATGTATAGTCTCTGTGCTGCCTTTCGTTTTCTGACCCCTGCTGTGTGCCTCCAGCTTTTTGAGCAGCTGCCTGGTTATCACAGCCTGCAGCAGCAGACACACTGGCTGAAGGAGAGGATCAGCCTCCTCCTGGGTGGAACCCAAGTGGTGCACATGGACAGACTGGGACCAGTTCAGCCCATAGCTGAGCACTACAGTTCCCTAAACACCTTCCACAAACGTCTCATGTCCCACCACCTTCGTCTGCACCCCAGGAGTCTGCAGGGCCTCACCATGTTGCTGGAAAAGTACGAAACCCTTTTAACCACTGACCATCACAAGCACGTGCAGTTTACTTAATGTTTGTGTCTCTTCCAGTGACCGCTCCAACCCCAGTCTTCATGAGATGGGACACTTCGTTATTCCCATCAAATGTGATCTTCCTATGCTACAGGTCTTCCTTCAGAACCAGGCCCCTGAAGCCCGACGGCGCATCCAACGCAAAAACCAGTGAGTGTGACGTAGTCTGTCTGTTTGCATGCTGTCTTTCTTTGGGGGGGCGGGAGGGGTCTTTTTATAGTTTATATCATATTTAGTATTTTTCCTCTCTTACAAGATGCTAGCATGTTTGCAGAAACAATTTCAAAAACTTTGTCAAGCAACAATCATAAATGATTTTGCTCCTGCCAGCAGTAATACGATTTACAGCTGGAACTCCATGAAGGCCGATTTATGGGGCAGCACGTACCCAGCACTGCCTCTGTGATAGAACCCCCCACACACCTACATCCATGACTGCTTTATACAATGTGACCACCACACCTACAACTGCCCAAGTTTAACTAGACGGTGTTGATTGAAATGACTAGTTTTTATTTTTAGTCTATTCAGTCGCTGTGTTTACTGTTAGAATTTGAGATCTTCTTGTCAACTTGCTCAATCAATCAGAATACTTTATTAATCCCGACGGGATACAGTTGCTCCAGTAAAGTAACATTAACAAAAACCAACTAGACTGTTTATCAACACAATATGTTAAGATCAGAGGATAGCACAATATATACAAGTCACCAAGTAATAAATGTCAAGAATATTAGAGTAGAAAGAGTGTGTGTAAAAAGGGTGTAACTATTGCAGTGTTCACAGTGTGTTGGATGGAGGAGTTGTACGGGGAGACGGCCACGGGCAGGAATGACTTCCTGTGTCGTTCAGTGGTGCATCATGGGTAATCTCAGTCTCTCACTGAGCGTGCTCGTTTGACTAGCCAGTACGCAGAGTCATCAGGAAACCTCTGAAGATGGAGGTCTCTGTGCAGTGGCTGAAGTCTGTGGTGTAGAGGGTGAAGAGGAAGGGGGAGAGGACAGTCCCCTGTGGTGCCCCTGTGTTGCTGATCACCTTGTCAGACACACACTGTGGGAGACGTACATATTGTCGTCTTCCTGTCAGGTACTCAACAATCCAGGACACCAGAGAATGAATATGTGACGGCAGTGATCGGTCACAGGTAACTGCTGAAGCAGCTCTCAGAGATCATTATAGGAACTTAATCATGGTAACACTAATACAAACGAATACAACATCATGAGGACAAAACATACTTAGGCTGCGTTCACACTGCAGGCGAAAGCGCATCAAATCCGACTTTTTTGACCCTCTGCGACCATCTATCTGATCATGGTGACAGTGTGAACGGCACAAATCTGATATTTTCAAATCTGATCTGGGTCACTTTCATATGTGGTCCTGAATCTGATACATATCTGATGTTTCAGAAAGCGACTGCTGTTTGATGGTCAGGTCGCATTGAATCCGTCTTTTACGTCACTGACGCAAGACAGACGCCAAATATCAGCGCCGGAGAAGACGACGTGAACGCTTCCTGTCCAGATGTCAGTGAAACTGTTGGGAAGACAACGTTGGAGAAACGTGAACATTTTCTTTGTCCTGTATAATCTGCAGATTCTGACAGAAATCTATCCTTTGAAGCAGCGCTCCTCTAAAACAGCAACAAGGATCATTATTAGGTTATTTACATCATTATGTAAATAACAAAATAACTTAAAGCAAAATTGGGAAACATAAAGTCTGAAGTCTTTATATTAAGGCCATCAGTCACACATACTGTTGCTCTGGGTCTAAACAGAGCGCGTTGTGTGTGACGTCTTCTTTTGCGCATGCGCCGCTTTGAGCGTTCACACTAGAGCGCGTTTGCTGTCGCATTTTATTTGTAGTGTGAACGAGCAGACAAAAACATCAGATTTGATCAAAAAATCTGAATTGAGCATCAAGACCTGCAGAGTGAACGTAGCCTGAGAGTTTTGATATCTGGTGCTTATTAAGAATCCTGTTTGTCTGTATGATGACTTTGTCACCTGCCTGTTTGTGTGCAGACTGCAGGCAGAGGAGGAGGCCGTGGTGAAGCTGTGTCTTGAGACTCTGTCTCTGAGGAGCTTGTCTAAGGAGCCCAGTGTCAGCCCTGCCCAGATGATTCAATGCTGTGAAAGACTGTTGGAGCAGCGCTCCCCCCACATGCAAGGCCTCCAGATCTGTGTTTCTCACTTTTACTCTGTCATGCAAGATGGAGACCTGTGTGTCCCCTGGGACTGGAAGAGCTGACCTCCAGATTTACACGTTTTTGTCGGTCCATGTGTGACAACTACTTTTAGACATTGATACTGTTGAGCAGAAAATAAGCACATTTACCAGGACATCACACAGACGTTTTTCTGCAAATGCTTTGTCAAGGAAATGTTCAGAGAACTTTAAGAGCACAAGTGAAGGATACCTGTACAGCCTGCAATGTTCACATGCGACCGGGCTACACTTCAAAGTGATGTGTGACAAACGTGTGACTTGTAGTGTAGACGTGGCTTAAAGCACAGAATTGTCAAAGTTGTAAGTATTTATTGCAATGAGTATGAAAAGTGATTTTTCACTTTGTAGAAATGTGAAGTTTCACAGGAGTCCAATAAAAACCTCTGTATATCCACCCTGCTTTTAATGTGCTGCTGATCCAACGCGTCAATCATCAGCAAGTGTGAAAGGAAAAACCTCTTCTCTGTTTAAAAAACCAAACGACAACAAAAACAACCAAATGTAGGTTTGTGAAATTGCATCTGGTCACACAGGACACACAAACCTGCAGGACACCGGCCCTCGAGGCCTGCAGTTGGACACCCTGTCAGCACAGTGATGGACCTGGGCATCTGGTATTAGCTCACTCAGCAGGACGATGATCCCAAGACAAGAGCTAAGGTGTTGCAATGACTCAGAGAAAATGACTTGCTGATGAAGGTGGCTCTACAGGCTTGAATCATGGGGTGTGCAAACTTTTGTCTTTTGATTCAGTTAGGGTTAGCTTATTCGGTGACTCCAAACTGCCCACAGGTCTGAATGTGAGTGTGATTGGTTGAGTCTCTGTGTTAGCCCAGGTCAGATTGACAGGCTGAGCAGGGCTGTGATAGGCTCCAGTCCACCTGCAACCCTGATAGGTGGAGGAGAATGGATGGATAACCCTGATTCACTATAATGAGATAAACTGGGAGTCAGACCAGTCAAACCTTCTGTGCTGTGTGGTGCAGACAGAGGAGTAAGTGGAACTGGGCGGCTTCTTCAGTGGATGGAGCTGTTGGGGGACTGTTGGGTGTTTCAGACGTGTGAAGCTATAAAGACGATGACTGGAGTCGCCGTACTCTCACCGTTCTAATTGAAATTGACCTTTATTCAAACAAAAAGATTTCACAGTGGAATTTTAATTCTGACTCGTATTTGACAAAAAACATTAGTTAACTCCTTAGAATTGGTGTTTCTTCATTGATTTCTCATAAAATTTGTCTTCTTGTCAAAATTACAAATAAATTCTGCTTCTGAACACAAACTGTTGAACCTTTATTGGACCCACTGAGCTGTACCTCATAGCACAGAACAAAATTAGGTAAATTCTTGAGTTTTGGAGCTGTGAAACTTTCCTTAGCAGCAATGTGACTATAAATGATCAACAATGATGAGGAGGAATTTGTGATGACATGGAGGGACCTCTGCAGGCAGGACAGGAATCTGAAAACCTCAGTTTTCCTCTTTGCACCCTTCGACAGGTGGGTGGCATAGCCACCGGGGCTGGGTATCGTCACTGGTTTCTAGATTCGATTTGAATCTGGGAAATTTTGCCTCAGACAGTCAGAAATATTATAATTCAGATCAGTAAAGGTGATTTTCCTGTTCTGGGACTTTATAAAAATATTCTGCAGTAGATCAAAACGAAAGAAAATCAGTAATCAACATATGAACATCACCTCTGACGTTACAGCGGTTTTATTAGAGAGTTTTGCATTTTGTATAATTTTAAAAAGTTTAAATTTGTTCAGAAGCCTGTTAAACGGCAGAAATTAGGTTTTCTTTTTGGAAGTAAGTAAAAGGAAAAAACAGCAGCCGACAGCCTGTAAACAACGTAGACTTGTGCGTAACAAGCAAGCGAATAATGAAGAAAACCGATTTTTAGACGGGAAACTGTTGTTAGAGAGAGAGCTGTGCATGACGTGTGATTTTATCCTGGTGGAAGCAAAACAGTAAAAGTCAGAGAATCCATGACGATGTTTGTGTGAAGCGTAGTTTGGATCTTCTTTTGCTGCTGGTTCAGTCAATGTTGTTTGGAGAGAGATCAAACTAACAGCTTCTGAATCAGCGCAAAAAGGGCGTGAACACAAAGCGCCGACCCGACCGTGTCCGTGGCGTCGGTGAGAAAGTCACAGCTCACTGATTCTGATCCGTCGGCGGGTCGAGCTTTGTGTTCACGTCTCTGTGCAGAGTCCGTGCTCCTGCTCTCATTTACTGTTTCAGCTGTTTGGTGGTTGTTGATATTTTGTGAGGTTTCACCTGAGATTCTGGTTTTTGGGCAAAATTCAATACATTTATATTAAAAAATCAGGATTTTAATGAATCGATATCACGTTATCCAAGCGAGAATCGATTTTAATCGATGAATCGATTATCAAAACCCAGCCCTAATAGACACCCATGATTACTCAAGAATGAGGTGACATAGGATTTTAAAATTCATATCATCAGTGCAGCTATTAAAAGTTTAGGATGAGTTTAAATTCTGTTGACCCCAAGGTCAGAGGTCAAGTTTTCAGAAGAATTTTCAAATGTATTCTGTAGAAGCTTTTAACCATGAGGCTGAAGGGTGCTGGCAGCTGTTGGTTGGCTTGCATGGATCATTCAAAAATGAAAAAAGTCGTAAAGTGGAGCATGATCAATGAGGATTGTTTGTAGTTTGTACTTCATGACTGTAAAATAATATCAGTGTAGCATCTCCTCACAGTTTCACTTTGAAAGCATCTTCATTAATGTTGCCAGCTGGAAGGGATCTCAAAGCTGCTTTGTAGGTGGCACAGTTTGTGATAAAGCTACCAAAGGTCCACAAAGCAGTAATTCCACTCAGACCCATCTCACCACCGTCCCAGCTCCCCCATGTGGGGAACACACCCCATCACATCAAAAACTCTACTGTCCTCACCAACAAGGTCCAAAAGCTTTCACTGAATAAAGATGAAACCACAGCGTCCTCTGATCTCCCTTTTCACGTGTATACCTACAACCATAGTCCGTGTAGGTGGAGACAGAAAACAACTACAACAACACAGAAACAGCTTCACCCCCGATCAGATTTGCACACTGCTAAACCTCTGACACCCTTAAATATGAGGGTTTCTATGGACACAAACATCAACAGCGACCTTTACATGGAAGAAGTGGAAAATAAAGCTCTTGGCTCTGTTAAAGGGAAAGCACCTAACCACTACAGGTGGATGACACCTGGCTCAAGACTAAAAGCACGAAGCATGAGCCTCGCTGCTCACTGAGGAAAACAGAAACCTCAACACTGAAGTTCACAGGAAGCCCACACACACAGACCAGGACCTACTCTGTGACTCCCATCACTCTCTGGAATAATCAGGACGCTGCAACTACCAAACGTGTGCATCACACTACACTTTTATTTTTCTTTCTTTAAATATAGGATATAATTTACAGGGTAATAAAGAATTGGTTTTGGTTTAGAGTTAATTTATTTATACAGTCACACAATACTGTAAAGCAAGTGTGCACATGTTAGCTTACACTGCTATTTGTATGATTTAATCTTTCTCTGTTTTCTGCGTTACGTCAGTGGCAGCTGCTCCAGTCCCTGGTTGATGAGCTAGGAGGTGGAAAAGGGGGCGGAGCAAGCCTATATGGAAACCTGCAAATTGGGTCATACTACTACTCTGGATCATGGGGGGGGTAAATGGAATTTGTTATGTTAGTTTCAGTTAGGTTTTTGTGTGTTCTTTTTGTGTCTTTGTAGGCTGATCAGACATTATTTAAGTCTCCTTCAGAAGGTCAGTTTGTTTGTGTTAGTATTGTTTGTTGCCAGCTTTTGAGTCCAGTTCTGTTACTTGACCTCTTTTATGGACCTGAGATTTAGATTCATGTATAATTTAACCAAAGTTTGGGGTTTTTGCGTTAAATAAAAAACCTTTTTTTGGACTAACCGGTGGCAGACTTTCATTTACTGCTCAGTCCATCAGGAATACAATCAATTCAGTGTTGAACATATTATATTTACTTTATTGCCAAAGTGTGATAGACTCTAGTCTCCAGAAGTACATTAGCTAGCTGTTACTAGCTAATTTCAAAATTACTGTTGGGTCAGGAGATGCAGCCTAACAATCCTGTTCTTACAGTTCTGTGGTCTCTCAGCATCAGACACATCACACACCAGTGATCTCAGTGAAAGTAAAAGAAAAAGATTTTCACCTTCATTTCTGTCAAATGAGGAATAAAATATAAATAGTAATATCTCCTGTTTTGGCTTCCTGTTAAATCCTGAATTCAAAATCCTGCTCCTCACATACAAGGTCTTAAATAATCAGGCCCCATCTTATCTTAATGACCTTGTAGTACCATATCAGCCTAGTTATGACAGACACTATCTCTACTTTCAAGATTAGGCTTCAAACTTTCCTTTTTGCTAAAGCATATAGTTAGGGCTGGACCAGGTGACCCTCCCTTAGTTATGCTGCAATAGACGTAGGCTGCCGGGGGATTCCCATGATGCACTGGGTGTTTCTTCTTAGACACCTCTCTGCATCTCATCCAGTACTGTGTACATGTTCATGTACCGGGTTAATGTCCAAACACACATTTTTCAAAATTAAACAACTTTTTGTTGTAGGTTTTGTCATTACATCTGCCACCATGAACAATAATCCAAAGTTATTTTTCCTTCACTCACAGTTGACCTCACAAAGTCATGCTGTCAACATGTTTACAGCCAACGCCATGGCACCCTGGTTATGTTCATAAACCTTTGGCGGCGCACGTTTCTGTCCATCAATACCTCTTTACACTCCTGTAGGTTTGCCGCTAAAGCCATGTACTCAGCTTCACGGGTAGATAATGCAACAGTAGGTTGTTTTTGGGTTTTCCATGTAATCAATGACCATTTACAGCCAGACTTATACAATAACTAGTTGTACGTCAGTCTGTGACATCAGCTGCCCAATCAGCATCACTGTAAGCCCACAACCTGAGTTCCTCGTTATCACATTTCCTGTAACAGGTCTGTCTCAGATGCCCCTTTCAAATATCTTAGTTCATGTTTTACTGCAGTCCATTGGTCTTCAGTTGGTTGAGTACTGTGAAAGTTTACTGACTATAAAACTCATGTGGCCACATAGATCAGACGGCCCACTGCCTCTCTGTGTACTTCCGTTTTTGCTCACAAGGTGTCAGCCTAGCATTGCAGTCCTGCATGTTGAACCTTTCACGTATTTCTTCCACATATTGTTTCTGTGACATTTTTACACATTTATTATTTTACGTGTAGTTGTTTTTTCCTGTGTAATAATATTCAACATTGCATCAATACATTTTTCAAAAAATGCCTCTCTGTGCAAAATGGGTTCAAAAACAAACAGCTGTGGGATCCTGTTTGTCTGTGATTTG